ACAGAAAAATCTCTCTCCAGACCTTCACCCACTGTGGTTGCAAAATGTCACAGATTAGGTCGAGGCCCTCACTGAGACACAAGCTGAAATCCCATTCATCCTGTTCAAGTTAAAATGTTTTACCTTAGGGAAGCAGGGCTGGGCTGGGGGCTGTGGCTGCTGGCAGTTCATCACAGAGCTCCCAGCATGAATTTGCCGTGGATCAGACACTGGTGATGGTCTGTGACACGGTCTGGCTACAGGAAAATGGCTTGGGGAGAAAAGAATGGCACCCATCCCCAAGGCTCCAAACTCGGAAAGGAGACCCAAAACTTTATCTCTTGCACACTCTGCATGACCACAGTGGTGTTTCAGAGGTTGAAGCAGTAATTCCCTGCCCATGTGAAGATGCCATCCCTTTCCTTTACCTCTCTTGTCCAAAATGCTTTTTCCTCATATCAGTGTTTGCAGCCTGCCTCTGCCCATCTCCATTGCTGGGTTCTGCCCAGGGCTATCCCTGCTTTTGGTAGGGCACCTCCCTCTCCTCCTCAATTATTTATAACCAAGGTGCTTTACTTTAAAGGTCCTCTCAGGCCTTTCTCCCCACTCCCCTGAAATTTTGGTCCTGCCTCTGATTTGCCCGGCGTATCAACCTCCATCTGTGAYACACTTCAAGCGAGGACCTCGGTGCCTTCTCCAGCAGCTCTTGCCCTCTTTTGGCCCTGCCACAGAACCAGCTAATGGTTTGRTGTCTGGGACAGTGAGACCTGAGCACCCCAAAGGGCCTTGTCTCTGCATTGAGGTCACACATTCTTTGGGATAGCGAGGAGTCTGTTCCACATTTGGTGCTGGGAAGTCCCTGGTTCTTGGGAAGCCGTTCCTGTGTGAGATCACAGGAAGCAGGGAAAGAACCTGCTGGGAGCTGGCCTCAGAGTACTGCTGCAGGACCTACATTTTCTCAAAGAAATTAAAACCCTGGCATTGGGGTTGGAGGAAATGTTCATAGGATGAATCAATTGCCTTGAACTTCAGAAGTAATACAAAGGACCCTGCTATGGGATCTGTGCTTCAGCCAGAGCCCAAAACTCCTCTTTTTCTCATCTATTGATGTTTCACCCTGGCAGGTGCCACATCCTGGCCTGGCACAGAGAGCAGCAGCACACAGAAGGGRTTTGCCTCTSTGCAGAGGAGCCCCAGAGCCCATCCAGCACTGGTGTGGCTGTGTCACTGCCTCTGCTGCCCCACACCTCCTCCCACTGCCACAGCACCCCCGGCTGCACCTGAGCCTGCAGGGGCTTGCACAAGTGACCCTGCTCTTTGGAGTGTACTTATCGATCTTTTCCCCTCTTGTTGACACTGCCTGAGCCAGCAGTGACTCCAGCCTTCGCTGTGAGAGCAGTGTCAGTGTCAGCTCTGCAGAGTGAGGACTGGTCGAGTCTTCCTCGTAAAATCAGCCTGTCCCAAGCCTGGGCACAGAGAGACCACAGCACTGCTGAGCTGAGAAGGGGCAAACCTGCTTTTCAGGTTAGAACAGCGCTTTAATGTTGGGGCCCAGGGGTAGRAGAGAGCAGGCAGAGTGGGTCAGGGGATGGTTGGTGCTGTCCTGGGCACTGTGAGGACAGTCCCTGTCTCCCACTGTCCCAGCTGGTCAAGCACAGAGCGGGTCAGACGATGGCATGAGGGGAGGAAGGGAGATACAGAAGGGATGATGGCCAAGCTAAAAAACCCAAGCCCTCCTGTCTTTACCCCTCTTATGTGATTGCTTTGCTTGAGGACRTTTCTATCCCCTTCCCCATTTGTTCTTTCTGTAGCTGATACTGAGCTGCCCAGACTGTGCGCTGGAGCACAGGATACTGGTTTTCCTCAAGCACTGCCAGCTCAGCTGTCCTGCCCAGCTCTGTTGAGCACAGCTGGAAGGCAGGGAGGAGATCAGGGCCTGTGCCAGAGAGAGGATCCCCTGTGTGAGGGGCTGTGCAAGGCAGAGGATCCCCTGTGCAAGGGGCTGTGCCAGGGAGAGGATCCCCTGTGCCAGGGAGAGGATCCCCTGTGCAAGGGGCTGTGCAGGGCAGAGGATCCCCTGTGTGAGGGGCTGTGCAAGGCAGAGGATCCCCTGTGCAAGGCAGAGGATCCCCTGTGCAAGGCAGAGGATGCTCCTGGCTGCTCCTGCCCTGACAGACACAGGGATATTGCCATGGCCATCCCCACACTGCCCTTGCACTGCAGTGACTCCTCCTGCCCGGTTTTACCCTGCTGAGTGCTGGGGAGGATGAATGTGCCCCCAGGGCCTGCCCGGTGTTTGATGGCTGCTGGACAGCCCTTGTGCTTTGKAAGCTGGGTATTCTGCATCTCCTTGCCAATCATTAACCCGCTCTTCCAGGGCAAATGCAGCACGGTGAGAGTGCCAGGGCAGCACGCAGGCACCAATGAAATCCCTGGCAGGAGGCAAGGAGTGCACGTTACGGCCATTGCTGGCGCTCCTGCTCTCAGCCCCTTCCTGCCGCAGCTCTCTGTGCAAACAGAGCCAGTGCAGTTAATGGGTGACCACAGCAGGGCATCCAGGCTGTCCTTTGCAAGGGTCATGTTTGGGAATTTCCTTTTCCTGGGGTTTCAGGTGTGTTTACTACCCGCAGCGCTCTTCATCGACAATTTCAGGGCCGCATATGGGGTGATCTCCAAATTCTCTTCATCAGCCAATTCCTTCACTCCTTTGTTACTTTTGTGGTATTTACCCTATTTTTAGAAGACTAATAAAATACTACAAGAGTAGCAATCCTAGAGCTATTCTCATCCAGARTGATGCAGAAGTGGCTGAAGTCACCCAGGGAACACCGAGTCCTCAGTGTAGGTGTCTCAGAGGCAGCTGATGGCAGCTGCTGCCCTGGTCCCRTGCTCTGACATGAATGGCTTGGTGAGGAGATGACCTGGGAAGATGGCCCCATTTCCACTTGGCAGTAGGTAAGAGGGGGACAAATGATTCAGTGTTGACCAGATTGCTGGTGGGAACATGACTGCTGTCATGAGAAGTTCCTCCTTGGCTCAGATGCAGGGCCTGTTTCTTCTCTTTCTGCACTGGAGGCCTCAGGGCCCCAGCTCACATTTAGATGTCTAAATTACAGCTGATGAGGACACCCTTCCCAGCCAGAATTTGCCAGGATCTTTGTGTAGGTCCTGGCCAAGGGCTGATCTCCCTGTTTCCCATTGTAGTCTGGAGATTGGCACCGAAGAGGGTGAYTTACTCATCCCTCCAAACTGCCCTCTGGGGGACTCTTTTCTCTTGGCCAGAAAGGTATTTTGGGGGATYTTCTTTTGGCCAGGCTGAAGGTCTCCTTGTGAATCCCATCCCTCAGAGCTTGCAGACAGCATATTCCCCGTGGCTCATCCCTCCACTGGCGCTACAGGAGATAATTAGTGCGTGGCTAAGTCATATGTGCTGAGGGTCAGGGAAGACAATGAGGCAGATTTTCCCCCGGAGTAAAGAGATGTCAACAGAGTTGCACTGCAGCGAAATGATGGCAGCTGTCAGTGACCCTGGCCCTTTCACTGAGCAAACAGCCTGTGGCAGAGCCTTCCTGCAGAAGAATGGCATCGTCTGGCAGCCARGCACCCTTGTGGATGCACACACAGGGCTCTCCCAGGACCCATTGTCCCCAGGAGACACTGCCCAGGAGCCCTCAGCCCAATTCCTGTGCCCTCTGACCTCCTTGGACACCACTCCTTGGTGTGGCTGTAAAATCAGCCCTCAGGAGCACAGAGGAGCTGCCTGTGGGGACGGCACAGGGAAGCACACAGCTTTGAAAAGTTGATTTCCAAAGGATTTTGGGGTATTTCAGGAGCGCTTGGAGGTAGTAAAATAGAACAAAACTGGACTGGTCACCTTGGGTGCATACAGATTGGGTGAGGACTTGTCCCTCTGATATCCCTCAGCTCAGCTCCTCAGTGCACAGGCATTACCCATGGTAAAAATGCCATGCTGTGAACCAAGGTATCTCTCTGGCTGTCCCAGTGCTTCCTGGAACAGGGGAATTCTCTTTGCAGTTGTGCTCCACAGGAAAGCTGATCCCTATCTCCAACCTTCATCTCTTTCCCCCCAAGTCTGTCACCAGACATTTTACAGCACASTGTGGAGACCAGGAGGGGCCACACCACTGGCCTGGGCTATGAAAAGCAAGAGGTAGCTCTTGATTTTTCAAGGGACTCTTACAGTCTAGGACAATTTCAACAAATAGTGATGGCAAAAATAAGCTCTTTTGACAGGACAAGTCTTGCACATTAAAACAAAGTAATCCCCTTTGGTTTCACCTTGATGTTGCTATGCTCCAAATGCCAACATCGCTCTTCATTCTGCTCACATTCCTCTCCAGTTTCAGGTAAAAGACCAAATGTCTCTCACCCTGTTCTTGGAGCTGAAACAGTCAAGTGTGGCCCCTTTTGTGCCATTACTAACTCCCTRATTCCTATCCTTGGGACCTAAACCCCCTTATCTGTAAGAGATCACATACCTAGGTGATRTTCTAATACTGTAGTGGATTTTTGCAGCTGCTCCACCTGGTGAGATGTGCTGTGGATGGAGATTGCAGCCAATCACCAGTGGAACATCTGCGCTCTGGCAGCTGAAGGCAGCGTGTCCATGGATGCTCTGAGCTCTGCCCTGGCACAGAGCCCCAGCGTGCTGCTGTGCCAGGGGGTGTTTTCTATGGACTCYGAGTTAGAGCCTCGCTCTTCCAAGCTGCTTTCAGCATGTGCTGCCTGCAATGCAGCCTGTCCRAGGGCTGGTTTGTAAAACAAATGGTGTATTCTGGCAGAGAGGGTAGAGACAGCTGGGAGAAAGTRATGGCTGGGCTGGGAGCAGTCTTGGAGTTGCATTCTGTAGTTCCAGGAGCCATATTGCCCTTTTGATGAGCATTCCCACACCTTCCTCCATGGAAGAAGCGGGGAACAAGCTCCTGAACGAGGAATTGCAGCCCTAGAGAGCCCGCCCCAACATCATGCACACGTTGTCCCTCCCAGCAARGTGCAGGAACCAACAGCCACAGGGCACAAACAGGCACTGGACACCCTTAAATGCATTTTTCTCTCTCTTGTGCATTATCTGACTCCTAAGGCAGCACAGCAGCAATGGCCACAGTGCTGTCACAGGCTGTGCTCAGACACCTGAGGACATTCAGAGGAGGGTGTTGAGCAGGGAGTCAAGGCAGCTTTGCACCACTTGGCAGAWCCAGCCCTAAAACCATGGGGTTTAGGCTCCCATGTTGGAATGCATTGGCCCAAGTAGCTGCACAGATGGATTAGGGGAGACCTATGGTTAGAGGGACTCGAGAGGTCTTTGCATACTGTCAGCATTCATCTGAAAATTGCTCCACATGTGGCCCCAGCTCATGCAATTGAGCACTTGACCGCATCCTGTAAAACAGGGCAGCGCCTGTGTCCTGGGAGCTCTACCAAGTTGTCTCCAAGTGCTTTTAATTTACTAATATAACTAGCGAGATGTTCCTGCTGTGTCCTTGCGCCGTGCCTCCCAGGAGAGCGGCTTGTCAGGGTGTTAAAAAGATGCCAGTGTGCTTCTGTGAAGGGCTTCCTATGGACAAYGATTTGCACAGCCCACAGGAAAAGTCCTTCTCGGATGACACGTGTAACATTGCAAGCATGTCCAAGGCTAATGATTATTTTCCACATAAATGGAATTATATTTGCCTTCAACAACATTGGCCGCTGGGACCTTTTCTAAAGCTGGCAGYGCTTCCAAGCCTCTGACTAAAGTGACTGTGTGACACAGACCTGAGGTAAAAGCTTGGGGTAGAAAGCGGAGAGARATGTTCTCATGAGAAGAGCAGACAGGGTGAGGTTTGACAAGATGACGAAAATGGAAGGAAATGTAGTAAAACAGAGGGTCTCGTGTGGGAACCGCACTGCGGTCTCACGGGGGGCACTCGGTGTGTGCTGAAGGCTCCTGTCGATCCCTGTTAAACCGGGCAACAAAAGGTTTTGCCTGTTAGTCAGAGCCATCCCAGAGCATGAGTCATAGGCAGTGGGAAAGGCGATGCTCCTTCCCGCAGCGCCGCAGAGCTCTGCCGCAGAGCTGCTCCCTCTGCCACCGACCAGCAGCACGGCTGGAGTGACACGGGTGGAGTGGCACGGGCTGGGAGTGACACGGGTGGGAGGTGACACGGACAGGGAGGTGACACGGGTTGGGAGGTGGCACGGGTTGGGAGGTAACACGGGCTGGGAGGTGACACGGGTGGGAGGTGACACGGGCAGGGAGGTGGCACGGGCTGGGAGGTGACACGGGTGGGAGGTGACACGGGCAGGGAGGTGGCACGGGCTGGGAGGTGACACGGGCAGGGAGGTGGCACGGACAGTGGTGACACCCACCCTCTCCTGATCTTTTGAGGCACTTCTGGCTGGTAAGATGAGTGTGTGCAGTGCAGCCCCATGTGTCTGAAGTCCATTGGAGGCTGTGTATTTTGGGGAGATGAGGTGCTTGCCCGTTTTCAGGCCCAGATGAAGCTCCCGGTGATATGCCCAAGGCAAACCCCAGGGACTGGATGTGCAGGCTGGAGAGGGATGAGCCCCCTGGACCTGTGGGTGTTTGTGTTGAGTGCTGAACGCAGCCAGTGGAGCACTGAGCAGTCAGGTGAGGAAGGTGCAGAACASCATCTCCTCTCCACATCTCCGTCTGGCAGGCAGCACACCCCCACTGTCCACCACTAAAGTGGCTTTTTTCCAGCATGGAAAGCCTGTGCTGGGGTGCTGGGGCTCTTGGCCTCAGCCCCTCACAAGACTTTCTGTGTGAGGGAGAGCAAAGCATGCAGCACGCTCAGAGCAGTGGCTCACAGGGAGATGTTCCCTAGCAAATCCTGGGAAGGGACTGTCCAACCCTCGAGTGCCTGTTCAGTCTGCAAGGACAGGCAGCCCTTCTGTCAATCAGGGGACACCCTCCAGGCAGCATCCCAGGGCCAGGAATGGTTGTCAGTTCATGAGGTTGGTCAGCAATCGAGTAAGAAATGTCTGCTGTACTTTTCAACAGAAAGATTTCCAGACTGCAGTTCAACAAGGTGAAGCTTGAAGATGCTGGAGAGTACAGCTGCGAAGCGGAGAACGTTTTAGGGAAAGACACCGCAAAAGGCAGCCTGAATGTGAAAAGTGGTAAGTGAAGAAGCCAGCAAATGTCTCGAGCTGTCTGCCATTGCACAGAAAGGTTCTGCACATGGTCTGTCTTATATTTTGTTTCATGCTTTCAGGATATCGAGTGAAACAATCTTGGGAGATAAGAAAAACGCAGCTTAGCATAAATGTTTATCTTTGTTATCTGTCACTGGCAATGTGGTTAATTTACATTTTAAATAAACTTACAGTCTATGTAATTTTTTTTTTAAAAAAAGGGTAAGGAGGAAAGAAAGCCGGTGGGCTTGATATTTTCATTTCTTTAAAGAATTTCTGAGAAGCAAAACTCACCAGAAGACAAGTAATTAGACCATAGCTTTGTGATGAGTGAAGTTGCTTCTGGTTTTCATCCTAGAATGTGTGCTCCATCTCTTAGAGCTCAGCRGATGGAGTCTGAGGTTAGGTGGTTTTATTATTATCTTGGTCATAATAATTATATTGCTTAACACCATGGCTTGGATGCACCCTCCGGCTCAGAAAGTCCCTACAGTGGCTGCCAGAAGCTGGGAGGGCACAGCCAGGGAGGGGGTGACTGGATTTCCTAAGCTCTTCCTCCTGCCATTCACAACAGGCACTGTGGCAGCCTGGGCTTTGAGCACTGAGCTCTGGGCCCTGCTGCTCCTTGCTGGGATCCAGTTTTTTGTGCTGGGATCCCGTTTTTTTTGTGCTGGGATCCCGTTTTTTGTACTGGGATCYGGTTTTCTGTGCTGGGATCCTGTTTTTTCTTGTGCTGGGATCCCGTTTTCTGTGCTGGGACCCAGTTATTTGTACTGGGATCCAGTTTTTGTGCTGGGATCCCGTTTTTTTTGTGCTGGGATCCCGTTTTTTGTACTGGGATCTGGTTTTCTGTGCTGGGATCCTGTTTTTTCTTGTGCTGGGATCCCGTTTTCTGTGCTGGGACCCAGTTATTTGTACTGGGATCCAGTTTTTGTGCTGGGATCCCGTTTTTTTTGTGCTGGGATCCCGTTTTTTGTACTGGGATCTGGTTTTCTGTGCTGGGATCCTGTTTTTTCTTGTGCTGGGATCCCGTTTTCTGTGCTGGGACCCAGTTATTTGTACTGGGATCCAGTTTTTTTGTGCTGGGATCCAGTTTTTTGTTCCAGTTTTTTGTGCTGGGATCCAGTTTTTCATGCTCCCACCAGCCTCAGCCCAGAGTGAGGCACAGTAGCTTTCTCCTGCTGCTCCCTGGCAGTATTTTCTCCATTAACCTCAGGGCATTTGCCATCCTGCACACAGCCTCCCCTTGGGTCATCCTGCCTGCTCAATCCCAGGCCTTGCAGGGAGGAAGGCCATCCATGCTCACACCTCCCTGCCTTCACAGCCCTTGTCTGGGMGCTCAGCCCTGCTGCTCTGCTGGGTTTATTTCCGACTGTGACAGCAAAAGTGTCTCGAGTAAGAAACTGAGGCAGCGCTCTGCTTTTTTTWCCTGACTCCTGCTCTGGAATGCCACATTGGATGGCAGCCTCCCTGCCCCATGTAGGGCACACAGAGCCACCAGAGCCCTGCCTGGCTCCTGTKCTGCCCCTTCCCCATCACCAGCACCCCTCTGACCAGAGGAGCAGCGTGGCTTGAGTGGTGCCTGCTGCCAGGCTCTGACTGCACCCCGGGTAAATGCACATCTGGCCACAGCTGCCCCWTCCTGCAGGGCAGGGTTTGGCTCTCCCCACACAGGAGATCACCGCTCACAGCAGCAATGGGGTCACACCTGAGGTGCCCAGAAATGTGTTAAAACCTGAAAACCCRTGAAAGGCACACCAAAATCTCTCTGCAGGGCACTGTGCATTCCCTGGCTGGATGAATCCATGTTCTCAGCTGCCTTGGTTTGCTGCTCAGCTGCATATACCCCGTGCTGCTGTTTGCAGAGCMCTGCCAGGACAGCAGTGCCCAGATGATGGGGATCCTGGGGGCTTTTGCAGCCTTGTCACCCCCTTTGCACTCTTTTCTTCTCTTTCCCCTGGAGCTACCACGGGTTAAGCAGCTTCCACCAGCATGCAGGCACGTGCTGTGTTGAGTATTCCTCTTCCCTTCCTGCTGGGCCTCCCTAGCACCTCGACAGCTTTCCTCACTTCTGCAAGCTCCCTTCTTCTGTGATAGCTTTCAGTAGAAAACTCATCAGGGTGCCTGAACCCCCCACATGTGTTCTCTCCCGTCTCTTCTTCCCCAGGCTCTCAGCACTGATCTTGTTGTGCCCTTTGCTCTGTTCCAACACCACTTTTCAGTTTCAGAAAAGCAGCTTTTTCAGATCTGCTGCAAGTCACCAAAACCACCACATCTTTGGAGAGAGAGAGTGGCAGCAGAGCAGAGACCCCTTGGCACTCAGAAAATCAGCCAAACCCTCGCCTCATCCCTCCTCTACAATTCCAGTATTTCCACAAAGCTCCCAGCTCAGAAAGAAATGCTTTTGCATTGAGAAACTTGGTGAGGGTGTTAATTTCTGAGGAAATGCTTCTGGGCTTAGCCAAAATATACYGTGCTTTGGTTGTATTGCTGGTTTTTATGACTTTGAAGTAAATTAGATGCTTTCTTAGAAAAATTTCCCATTTCCCAGTTGTCTTTATTGAAGAGTCTAATGTTGATGTCACATGGCCATGAGGGCACTTATGAGATGTGACTGTTCCAGACTCTGTTTTTCTTCAGAAAATTTCTAGACATCTCCTCARCTGCCCCACCCCTCATTAAACACTGCAGAAATAATCAAGCTGTACAAAAAATTCTTTCTGCTTCTGGCTTTTCATGGTGATCTTAGGCCTTTCCCTGACAGGTGCTGCACCCCCAGCCCAGGCTCCTGGGRTTTTCTCCTTTGTGCATCCAGAGGGTGTGAGGGATTTCTGCAGAAGGTGCTGGTGCTGCCAGCAGGTTTGAGCAGATCTGGTGGCAGTGGGCACTGGAGTTCCAGTGTCCTGGTTAGGAGAGAGGAAATCACTGCCTGTGCCTGTCCCCTCTGTTGCCTGGGGTCGTGGCCTTTGGCTGTTTCATGTTCCTCTCCTCTTGTGTRAGCATTGGTTTGTGCTGCACAGCTTCACCCACCCATGGGAAGGAGGCTCTTCAGAAAACCCCACCTTTTCTCAAACCCTGCATTTTCCCCACAATCATGTCCTGCCATCCCATCTTTGCACTCTTGTGGCCATCAGGACTGAGAAAACCTCCCACAGTTTCGCTCTTCACGTGCCAGGTGAACCCTGAGCCTTTTCTTCCTCTTTGTCACAACAGGAGGCCCTTCACAGCGAGGGGACATTGTGCCCTGTGCCACCCCCTTCAGGGACACTCCTTGTCCTGCTCTGTCACCCTGATCCCCTCCCCTAAACCATCCCTGCCAGCCCTGTGCCCCCCAGCAGCACCTGCCCCTCTCCTCCTCCCCACAGTAGCCAAGCCCACCCTGCTCTGCTCAAAAGAGACATTTTGTTCACTACTTTCTTACCTTAATTTCCCCAGGAACAACGAAAGCACCACAAGTCTTACCAGCCTCAGAAACTAAAATAGTTGTTATGGAAGAAGAGTGTAAGTACCTCTCCCCCGCTCCCCCCATACAGCTGCTTTCCCCTAATTTGTTTGCTATTATGAGACATTTTACATAAATGCTTTGTTGCCTCCTGGAATCTTCTTTAATCACTCCTTCTCTCTGATTTTTCCCAAAGCCACTGGTCCTTCTTTCCCTAGTTCTTTTAAAAAATCTGATTTATRTTGCTGGTGTCTATCTCAGAGAGGGAGAGTTTGATAACTATTGCAATGGCAGCTTGAAGAACGTGCTACTTAAAATTGCAACTAAATTTGAAGCATTCCCAGCCCTTTCAGTACRTGGAGTTAATTGAAACTTGCAAGATGTGCTTGTTATGGACTTTGATTTAACAGAGTTTTTTTTATTGCTTTGTTTTTGTGTTTGGCTTTGGGGTTTTTTTGAGGATGSTTGATAAAGCCAAAATAGGCTGTAGGAAGAACAAGAAAAAACACATGAGTCTTCTAAGCAGAGGTAATAAGAAAATTGCAGAAAATCCATCAATGCCCTGCCATCCCATTTTTCCCTGAGTCTCCAGAAAGCAAGAACAGATTTCCCCAAATGTTTAATTTGATTTAGTGTGGCTGAAGTGCTTTTAAGCAATCCCTCCTACTCCGTTGTCCCAAAAGCAATAGAAAATGGGCACAGAGCARTAAAAATCAAGRAGCRGATACAAGTGTAGCTCAGAATTCCRGTTTCTGGATGTTGGCTCAGCGATTTCTGGTGGAGGGTGTTGTGTCTGTGTCAGGRGGAGCCCACCAAGRTCCTGGCCAAACCCCTGGGAAGCCAGGACCAGGCAGGGATGTTGAGATTTGTGCTGTTTCCATCCCAGATGCCCAGAGCTGAGAGCACAGCTGGCTGCTCCTCACTGTTGGCAACTCTGCTCTGCAGATTTTATGGGGATGTTTCCTCCTTGGAGAGCTCAGTCCTTTATGGTTTTAAAGGAAATCTGATTGCATCCACAGCAGGCACTGGCCAGGTATTCTTTAAAAGCTTTTTCTGATTAGAAAACTCCTCTGAAAATGTGCTCCTGTGTAGTGCTCAGCCTTGCACTGCTCTGGGGACACCAAGCTGAGGTACAGCATTATTACTGCCATGGTCACACCATCCTTCCCCAGGATTTTTTCTTTGTTTTCACCAAGAGAGATCCATGCTACTTATTTGCATCGTATTAGATAAATGCTATTTTGTCAAAAGCCAAATCTCAGAAAGGAAACAGAAATTTCTCATTTTGGAAAGCTTCTTTCTTCTGTGGGTGCATCATCACTGCCTGTCTGGTTTCTTTTTCTAATGATGCCAAGAGATGGCAAAGTCTCCAGAGTTGAAGTTGTAATTCATTTTTTCCTTTGCATTCCTGGTTTTTTTTTGCAATCTCTCTCAAGTGTTATCTGAATAACTCAGAGTCTCTCTGATTTTTATGGTGACTGATGATGTATCATAGGATTGCATGTGTGCACAGCACATGGGGAGGTGATGAGGATGTGAGGTGGGGTAATCTGGAAAGCAGACAAGTATCTCACTCCTGTAAAAGTCTTGCATTTCTTTTCAATATCTGCATTCAGAGTCACCTGGAGGCTGTCCCACTGCTCGGTATTTCACCGAAATCCTGTAAATCACTGGCTGGATTTTAAACACTGCTGCCTCCAGTACCTGGTGTGTGAATGGCATGAGGTGCCAYTCAGCTTCACTCAGTGGTGCAGCAGCCTCATTCTTGGTGAAAATGTGTTAAATAGGACACATTGTTCTGTGCTTGTCACGGGCTAGGTCTGTGCAGTTGGGTGGTCACAGTGGCTCAGCTCACAGGCARGAACTTGCAGGGATGTGGTAACTTTATCACGTGCCCTGATGCAGAGAGAAAGGTCCTTTATGCTCATTTCAACATCCAGAGAACTCCAGATGGTAACGTGATCCTGTCATGGTGTGGTGTGAGGCAGCSAAACAGGGCTCAGGGGTCTGGCTGTGGATGTGTGGGGTGAACAGGACAGGAACCAGTGTCAACACTAGGAATCATTCTGATGGAGACAGAGGTGGAAGAAGGATCAGAGCAATTTGGAGTGCATTCTGAGATGCAAGGTTTAGCAGGACAAAGACAGTAAAACCCTCTCAAAGTTTCACATTAAAAAAGTTGAGACAATGTTTGAAACCTCTGAGAAGGTCAGGTAATCCCTTGTGCTTGTTGAGCTCTCCTCTGGTTCCTTCYCTGGACTTCAAGAAGTCGGTGAAGTGCTGAGGGTAAGGCCAGACCAAGGCTGGTGGAGGGAGCATGGTTTGGACACTGCCAGGACACGGGAGGATGTGCCAGGGTGGGCAGAGGCTCCAAACCCACATGTGGATCCCTGCAGCTGGACTCTGCTCCTGCTCTTTGCTCGCTCTGTGGCTGACTGGGTGAGGCTTTATCAGCCTGCAGCAGATGCTCTGCAGCTGAGAGAGGCTCGGGATCACAGGAGAGGGTGAAACAGGGAGAAAGGGCAGGAGAGGCAGCGCTGGGTTGTGCTGGGAACGGGAGGATTGGGGGTAATACAAAGCACGTGAATGACTGCTGGGCTCTCTGGATTTAGTTTTTATGTCACCTGCTGGGGATCACAAGCCCTCCCTGGAGTCCTTCTAGAGACCCCTGTGGGAAGGGTAGGTGAAAGGTGGGAAGGTGAAACAGCCCTCCCCTGTGGGAAGGTGAAACAGCCCTTTTTTCTCCAATGAAGTCTAATTCCCCACACAACAGTCTGATTCCACAGATTCCAGAGCTGTAACTTGGTGATGCCATTGGACTAAGTTTGTGGACTCATTGGTGTGGATTCATTCAGGCAATCCCCTCCAGTTTAATACCTTCCTGATGCCCAAAGGGGCATGGAAATGGTCTCTCTTTGTCTCTCTCTCCTGAACGAGGCCTGATGGACTCACATGGTTGCAATGGCTGTGCTGTGGTTTGTGAGTCACACACCCCACTCTAACATGTGCCACACAGTTAGGACTCAAGCAGTGTCCCCAAACRTGCCCATGGCCTTTCCTGGGTGACCATGGCAGACCTGCCTGTGAGTTGGTTGGTCAACCCCTTGTCCTTGAAGGCACTGAGCTCTCCTGGAGCCCACCAGCCCTGCAAAGGTGAGCACGGTGCTCTGGGTTTGCAGTTGAAGGGTGTCCAGCAGCCCAGAGCACAGGCAGAACAGACACAAGTTTTCAATAATATTAGACTAAAAATAAATCCTGGCGTGGTMTTTGCTCAGCTAATTTGAAGCCCATTGCTGGAGGTGTGGCTGTAATTGAGCGGAACCTGCACGCACGCAGGCACGGAACCTTGAGGTGAGCGTGGTGCAGATCTCCCTGGCAGTCTGCAGAGAGCTCTGTGGTGCCTGGCAGCTGCCAGATCCTGCTCATTGCTCCTTTTGCACACTGTGTTTTTTAAACAGTCACACAGGCACTGCTGGAGATGTGGTGCAAAGGCAGGCAGTGACTGCAGGCAGAGGAGGGGCAGGATGAAGCATGGGGTGGGAGCTGGTGTCCCCATAGAGCACAGAGGCTGAGCCCAGCCTTCAGAGCAGCGGGCTCTGGACCAGGGGATCTGCTCTTYGGGCTCCATCCTGCGATCCTGGCGTGTTGCTTCACTTCTTGGGCTTCAGCTGCCCTGCCTGCGAAGCTTTCACGCTGGCATTGGCTCTGCCAAAGGATTTTTAGGTCGCTGAACAAATCCTCTCATTGAAGTATCATGTTGCTGCTATTACAATTGATGATGGGATTTGGGAAAATAGAATGCTGCACTGTTGTCATGTGCATTTTCAGACCCCTGTGGCAGAGAAGAGCATTTTCAGACCCCTGTGGCAAGAAGAGCATAGGCAGGGAAGCATAAATCTGCAGAGATCATTCTAGACGAGCTGCTAGAAACTTGACAATAACACAGGACTTTGCCCCTGCAATAACTGCCTGTCCCATGGACACAGGCAGGCCCTGAGYGCTCAGAAACCTTGAAACTTGTTTCTCAGTGAGAGCCTTGGACAGGGCAGATGGGAGAGCTGGGGAATGCCACCTGTGCTGTTCTGATCAGCAGCATCTGATGCCCCRAGACGAGTGTCTTGCAGCCTGGTATTTGTATCTTGGGATGAGCTCCTAGTCTGCAGCTATTGATCCTGATGATCCCCTCAGGAACTGGAAAYATGATTCCAGCAGGATCTATTTCAATAAAAAGCGGGGGTAAATATTTGGTCATTTCCAAAYGAATAAACACACAGGAGCAGAATTTTTATGAGCTCCAGAGTCCCCAGTCTGCTGTCAGGCAAGCTCCAGTGTGCACAGGCCCTTCTGATTTTATGTACAGATAACAGCAGGGAGCATCCAGACTCTGCTTGGGTTTATTGCGAGAGGAGGTGTCGTATCAGACACACAGAAATTCACCAGAGAGGCAATGGTGAGGATCACYAGCCCCTCCATGTATTAATCAGTGTAAATCATGGATTTAGTGTGGCTCATGCCAGGATTTCAGTGCTACAACCAAGGAATATCTTGGCCAGGCACCTTCCCATCCGTGCTCTTCTAACAAGCAGTTGGATGAACTCTGTAGAGAGGAACCTCAGCAATTCTGTGTTTTATCACTAAGTACATGAGGCATATACAGAGCAGGCAATCTGTATACACTCCCCAACCAGCTGAGTTCATCTGTCTAACTGAATGTCTAAATATTGAGAGAATAAAGTGTCTGTACTCTATGAACCCACCAGCCAAAGTTATTTATAAAGAAGAAAAGGAGCGGCGAAACTATCGCTGTCTCCCCGCTCTCCTCGACAGTAGCTGTAGTTCRTGAAAAATTAACTATAATTTATAGTCCAAGCTGCATTAATTAACTCTTTGCAGGGGGAGTGTTTCACCAGACTTCTGAGAACAGGCTGGTGAGCTGCCTGCAAAGGTTAAATGACGTGCATGGCAGGAATTGTGTAAGAATCCCTGCACAATCATTAATGGCCTCTCTGCGTAGATGGTTTGTGTGAAGGGAAGTCCACCTGGCAGAGCCACTGCCCCT